ACTGATACTTCCGGAACTTATGTGTCCCAACGGTCCTCCCGTCGGACCGTCCATCATCCCACCCACGTGATGATGACTCAGCTGTGCTTGGATATGAGCCAGAGAATGAGGGTGACCTTGAAAGCTTGGATGAACCACGCCAACGGGATGAGAAAGGCCGGTGCTGACCCCGTGAACCTCGCTCATATCGTGACCGATGTTGGAATCCAGACTGTTCTCCATACCGCTGGAAGGTGAGCTATTGCTTTTCCTTTGGCTGTTACCCGTGCCGGACTTTGTCCGCGTCGCTGAGGTTTTCGCCGGCTTCGACGCCGCCGCCGGCGCTTGGCCGTTCGCGTTCTTTCTGCGAACGTTCTTCGTGTTCGGCAGCTTGTGATCCTTCTTCCATTTCATACGGCGGTTCTGAAACCAGATTTTGATTTGTCGCTCCGACAGGACCAGTGTATGAGCGATCTCGATCCGTCGTCTCCTCGTCAGGTACCTATTGTAATGGAATTCCTTTTCTAATTCGAGTATCTGATGCCTGGTATAAGCGGTTCTCTGTCGCTTTGGTTCCATTCCAGGTTGATACGTGCCATTCGCTGCAAGAAGGAAACAGAAATCGAAATGTATTAGTACAACGAGGCTATAAATAATAGCATATTCTGCAATAACGACAAATTCTCTTAAAATATAATTTTTTTCTTTACTTGAGAAGAAACACGTGTGTGTAATCACACAAAGTGTATTCTAACACGTAAAATTTTAAGAATAAACTCTTTAAAAAATGTGAAAATAATTTTACTTTAACGAAAAGATAATTAATATGTAATATTAAATATAAATAAATCAAATAAAGCCTAATTGTTTAAATAAATCAAATGAAAATAAAATAGGCTGGTAGATGAATCGTGATTGTTCGTGCAGTAACTTATATTTCTTAATATTTATCAAAAACCTTTCGATCGCACACATTTAACCTGATCATCTTCAATTTACAATAAATTATAGTAGTTTGAAACTAAACATTATTTATAAAATTACAATTTAAACGCTATATCAATTAATGTATAATCGACGCAATCGATTTCTTGTACGGTGTTTAGTTATCCATTTTTATGCAATTGTCGTCAAATTAATTAATAAAAAGAAGAAAACGTAAAGTAATATATGTACTTATTATACTAATATGTGTGGCCTTCTGTATTTTTGTTAATTAGAGGATCATGTTCAAAACCAATTATTTTTTCTCTAACATTTTCACTTTGAAGATTCCCATCATTAACCTCCTGCGGAGTTACAAAGGGACAACTTGACCTGAAAAAATCAATCTTATTGTGTCGTTTGTATTCGTCTTCTACTTTTCAAAATATTCTAAAATAAAGCATTTTGAAATTATGTTTTCGTTTCACTACACATTGCCCCTATTAGCCCATTTTATTTTCAATCATAATTTAATGTTAAAAGTTATATCAATATGTCGCGAAAGCTGTGCATAATCTTACAAAAAAAATATTACATCACAATTACATTTGAATCAAGTTAGATTTTCTCATTATATAAATTATTTTTAATTAACTGTATATTGTAAAAGTAATAAAACTGTAAATAATCTTATAGATTTCATAAGATATTTTTGCATTATACTATCATCATGAATGTATCGGAGAAATAAAAATTCCTGCGGTATTATATAACGATGTTTATGCTTTGCTGAATTACATCATGTGAATATGTCGTAAGAAATTTCGTTACACAATTTTCTTGCAGATTTGCTATGCAGAACTCGTCCTTTTCAGTCATCTTCGAAACCAGTTATTTTTCCTCTCATTTTCACTTTAAGATTCCCATCGTTAGCCCCATGTAGTGTTACAAATGGATTTTTGACCAACCTGACCAATCCATCTTATTGTGTCGTTTATTCGTCATTATTGATGACTTCTAGTTCACGAAAATTCTTATACAATTTCTATACAATTCTTTTTACAAAAATAATGAAAAGAAATTTACGACAAGAACTTTTTTTCTTGGAGTATTATTGTATAATATAATGCAAACTGCAAAAAAGTAAAAAATATTTGACAACTTAACTTAAACAACGATTAAACTATATGCCAATTTTACATTTTAACAACAAAAGAAAAATAGTTCACCATATTCTATATGGTTCATTACCGTAATTATTAAATACTTCTTACATTGCGATATCTACAGAGATAACATATGCGAATAACATTTTTTATATTATATGACCATTCGTCACCTCACGGCCGTTTTGAATAGCATCAAAGTCAGTTGAAGTGACTTTTGTAATCTGATCAATCCGCAAGATATGCCGATGAAGTTGCGGAGGCAGAATACGCGTATGCAAATTCATGAGGATAAAAAGTGCCAAGCGTACATGCGCATTGATCCCGCTAAGCAACATCTAAAGAAATGCAGGAACAATAGATTATCTTTTACAGCCCACAAGTTGGTTTTCAAGGTCAAGTGATTTGATAACTGCCTCGTCAACACGTTTGTTACGTTTTTTTAGAATCTATTAGATACATCTCACACGTAACAGCAATTAGAAACATCAATGCCTACACGTGCAATTGATTAATAGTTCAGCAGAAATATCTATAAAATATTTAGAAATGTTATTGTGAGTAATAACAGTGAAATATCCTCCCATCACTTTAGAAAACGATCAGATATTGAAACACTTATTTTAACAAATGATCAAATAAGTGGATTCGGAAAAAAAAGAAAAAATTATCTTGCTGTGGTACGTTGACATTGATATTTGTGAGTCACGCTAGTAGCAATTCATGGTGGTCCGTTCATTTCGATATAGGAAACATGAGAGTGAGTTCAGTTTAGAATCTGTGCAGACACATTCCATTCCGAGCTGACCGTCGGTCTCGTAGAGTCCCTTTTAACTCCAACGTCCGGCGCGACCATACTTCGACAACCAAAGGGGAGAGATTGCAGTCTCTGACAACCTAACGGACGAGCATACCAAAGTCCACGGATTGCAAATATTCGCACGATGTATAGCGTAATGAAAAGCGCAATTTACTACATTGTACCGTTGACAAAATATTTTAACATTACATTGTATGTAGAAAAACAGTTAAATTCAATTTTATTTCTGCAACAAGCTAATTATCAAACGTTTCGCAATTTTCGAACTGCAATTTTGACAATATTTATATTTGTAAAACAGAAAAGAATAAGTCTAATTGTAAAATAATTGGTTGCAAGGCAATTGTATTATTTGACTTAAAAACAAAACCCAAAAAGGATAAAATATGAATAAAATATGAAAATACAGAATGAAATAAATTGAAAAATAATGCAATGGTAAATGTAAATATCACATTACGATAAAAGAATATCTCAAAACACATTCAACACTCATTTTGAAAAACATTATGTTCACTACGTCCTAACTTCAATATTTTCTACGTAATAATTATAATATTTGAATTTTTAAACATAAGAATTTTACTTTTTAAAACATTTAATATAGTTTTATACACGACGTTATGTTATTAACAAACTATTTTGAAGTGCAGCTTTTTCCTTGACGTAAAATTTTCTAAAAATGTTTTTATTTTTACTTTTACATTTTTTGTAACATTATAAATTATTAATTTTTTATAAATTAATGGATAATTATATATATTTATCAATATTGAATATGTATAGAATATCTTAATAAAGAGAAAATTTCATAATATTATCTTTTTCTTGTTATGTAATTTATAAATATAAATATATGTAAAAATACTGCAATTAGTTTGGTATAAAAATAGTTTTTAGCATTTAAAAGCATTAAGAAATAATAAATTTTTATTGTGAACAGTTTTATCTGAAAAGCATGAATTATAATTCCGATTTTGCAATTTTCCGAATATCCGATTTTGCTGCATGATTCGCGATTTTATTTTTTATTGTACCAGATTTAGATTTAAAAGAAATATTTGCAAGTCAAAATAACCAACATTTTCGAGTGGAATAGAAATTCTTGCGGTTACAAAATCAATGTAATTCTGCGAAAGAATATTACGTCGCAAAAACCACTTTGAGAAATTCTTTATGTATGTGAAATATTTTCCGGCTTAGCAAAATATAAATACGATACATCCTGCAAACTAATGCGTTATAGATACACTGCTTATAGATACACAATTTCTATAATTTGTGCAACGTTAATTAATATACCCGTGTGCCGAGGATACGTTCAAAACATCTTTTTATCTTCATAAGAATAGGAAGCACGCGTATATTAGTCTGAAAGTAGTTGTCTGATTAATTATAAAAGAACTACATTCGCGTTAATTGCCTTAATTATAACAACCGGGGGCATTATATTATCACCGGCATCTCTTCCAAGTTCCAAGAGCCACGAACACCTTGTACAACACTGAGTACCTACTTAAAAGGTCTGTGTAGAATCTTTGTGTCGAATTTCGAAATTTATTATTGCCTACAGCGCTGAATTGTACTGTGAACGTCCTATTATTATGGTGTATACATTCGCTACTGTATGAAGAATGAAGATATATTAGGTGTAGCCGAATTCGCCTATACAGCAAGGTGCTGCTAGAGCCTCACAGGTGATCACAAGGTGTAACGATAAATTTCAGCTCATAAGTCTTCTTTCGACTATTCTATAGTACCTCACTTTACGCACATAATAGTGTATATCCATTAAATACACACATTGCTTTGACAGATTTGCCAGGTACAAAAAACAAATATTTACGGTCTTTAACCGATTACAAAGTTTACACCAACATTCTTTTAAATTTGTCAATATTTATATTCATGTATTTTAGGTAAAGAACATTATCAGATGAACAACAAAATCATTTTAATTATTTTAACTGATTTTGTCCGAATTAAAAGAAATTATAATTCTTGTGACAAATTATATTTATCTACTTTGTCGTAATAATGTTAAATATTATAGGCATATGTGATAGATTCTATGTTTCTCATTATTTGAGCATGTACGAAAAGATAGCTATATGTTGTCAAGCCGTCGGACATATATTCGCGATGATTTAATATGTTCTTTCCGGCAAAACGTAATCGTAACAAAATGGAATTATAGATAATTTTTATGGACTGTAAAACATAATAATATTAAGATTCTTAATTTCGTTGATCATATTGTTACATTTGTTTAACGGAGATGGTGCATCCAAATTGAAAATAATATTATAAAGGCAAATCCGAGATAAAATTATGACTGCGATAGAGAATAAAATGAAGTAAGTTTCAAATATTCACAATTAGAGCAGCATATTCTTGTTGAAATTAATAGTAAGTTTATAAATATTGACTCACCGACACCTGCGACATGAACCTTCTTCATCCACGGATAAATCGGACGATCTCTATTCTCCTCGTCTTCCTCTTCTTCCTCTATCATCCCTGGTGAGCCCTCCATCTGACCATCCTCTACATCATCTGCATCTGAACTATCTTCCACATGGTGCTGTTGTTGCGACTGCTGCGAAGTTTGCGGCTGGCCGCTCTGTATATGTTGAGATTGCTGTGACAATGATTGTTGCGTCTGAAGATCAGGCGAATTATCCCGGTGTAATTGACTCGAACCGGCCGGACTGCAGGCATTGTTCTCGTGTTGCTGCTGATGATGCTGAAGAGCGTCCGGCTGTTGCACGTGATTTTGCATTAAAGACGGCGATAGCGGCGTGGACGCGAGAATAGTCGACGTTGGTACGGACGATTGTTGTTGCTGCTGCGGCTGCTGACTTTGCATCGACGACGGACACGTGAGCGGTGGCTGCTGGGCTTCCGGCGGCATCGCTAGTGCGCCCACTGCGTGATGATGAGGATGTAAAGTGGCGTGATGAACCGGGTGCACTTGGTGATGATGAGGCCCGTAATATCCGCTGTATCCTGCATATCCTCCGTTCAATTGTACCGTGGAGGAAGCTCCGTAAGGAGTCGACGCCGCTTGATGATGATGCTGATGATAGCCGTATTGCAACTGAGATTGCGGGTGGCTTAAGTGATGCCCGGCGCCGCCGCTCGAGAAAAAGTCTGCTCCAGTCGAAGGTATGTAATTACTCTGACTGTATTCTTCGCTGGGAGGGAACTTGGGATCGACCATGACAGAAGTGGCGGCTAAATGATGATTTCCAGCTTGCTGCTGATGCTGATGGTGATGATATCCACCGGCGGCGGACGGATTCATCAGGAACGAGTTCATGTTCGCGAGTACTTTCTTGCGGGAAACACGCACCCACACGACAGTCCGTGATGAATTCTCGAACGACCGCACTGTTGGATTCTACCTTTCTATTTTGCTTTCTGCATTCAGTTCTTCGATCCGTTGCACCATTTCGTGTTAATATTCATTCTCACAAGCTACACTGCACGGCACTGCGCTGTGGTCCATCGTCCACACCTCACCGCGTCTTGCGAAAAAGGGGTGACGTTTTCTCGAAAGGAGGAAAAGAGAGAAAGAAGGAGAGGGAGAAAAAGAGAAAAGAAATGGAAAGAGCGGGGCCGCAACGAGCACAGGACTCCCGGTGGACAGCTGCTTATTCTCTCCTCTCTTTCCGCCACTTTCGCGATCCTCCACGACCTCGTTCGCTCCTTCCCGCCCACCGGAGCCCAATTACCATACCACGTGACCACAAGACCGACCAATCGGAGCTGTTCCTAGCCCGCGACCATGATGGATAACCACGGCACGCATGCAACACCTGAGTGGCGCCGCGATAACCACTGTGGCAGGTGTAGTAACTTCTTCAGCTTTGCTCTTCTATTTCACGATTGTCATCGAACTCCGGAAATTCGGAGTAGTCTATCAATTTCTATGCACGCCACTGAATGTCCTCCTCTTTGATGGTACACACTTCTCTTTTTCATAAACTTTCACTTTTTATTCACACCATTGAATGCTGAGTCGAAACGAGGGTCAAGCTGACGTTTTTGCGTAGAATTTTGTTAAACCAAGCGATTCGATGTCCGTCATACTTTAAACGAATAATAACGTCGTTTCCGCACTACACTTCTGTCACTGTTTCGCGCAAATAATTGAGTGATATCTGAATCAACCTAGAAGAGGTGTCGTCGGAGAGCTCTGAAAGTGAGCTCGTCCTGCGTCGGCAGAAACTCGTCTGGCAACCCGTCCGGTTTGCTTCCAACTCCCTCCAGGTCCGCGTTCGCGCCGGCTGGCTTTGAGCTCCGATGCGGAGAGCCGCGTCCCCCCTTCTCGTCATGCGTCTTCTCGTCAGAGTCATCCCCACTTCGCGGCGGCATGAGACCAACCCCTGCCACGGAAACAGCGGATCTTGTGCCCTTATGGGGCATACTCGAGAATACCTATAACCGGAGTCACTCCTACGTATCCCCTTAACCCGCCTCCATGCTCCTGAAATCCATCTTACGGCCGGAGTCAATGCTGAGAGAAACGGTGGCAATGAACGTTAATGCTGTTGATATTGAATGCTGTGATGAAGGTAATCGCGCTACTAATTCAGCATTATTTGTCGTGACCAGCAAGTGTTATCATAATCGTTATCCATTATATCCATTTGACAATATGTTCCAAAAACGAGCTGCTAATTGATCTGCCGGAATAGATGTCTTTTTTTCTGTTAAATAATTTCGTGTCGCCAATTCTGTTCGACGAAATGTATTTATCATTGTCCTTTTTATTGACGTGTGAAAAATAAGTTAATATAACTTTTCTGTACAAATACAAAATAAATACGTTTATTAATTTTGTATTAATTATTACGAAATAATGAATAAAGGATTCGAATGTGAAAGAAATGTAGTTTTAACGTCAAAAGACAGTCTTTAACTTTAACTTTATGGGGCACCAAAGTTTGAAAATGTTACGTAAGACGAGTTGAAATTGGCTAAATTAATAGTAATAGATCTGCCATTCGATTACACTCTGCTCATATTAATGCACTGGTGTCTCGGCGTACTCGGTCAAGTACGTCTACTCGCGATCAGCTGCGTGGCATAGAGAATATAAAACGCCGAGTCATTACACAAAGAGCATACTCACTGTGTTTTGCCTTCGTACGACAATGCAGCACGGTAAATTTAAGTTACATTGACTGTGCTGTATAAATGATCCAGGAACTAACAGTATTGGAATATCGTAAAACGGTATTCTGGAACAAAGGCGGTGTAATTTTCAGATTCCTCATATCAGTTAAATAAATTTTTTCTTACAAGTCAAACTTTTAAACAAAAAAATATTTTTTGCGTATTACTTTCGCATAAATTAATTCGTCAGATATGTGTTAAATGTAAAAAAATAGAAGCGAATTAAAACCGAATGGCTCAGAAAGGCTGAAATCGTTTTTACTAAATCTCTCTTTCTCTCTCTCTCTCTCTCTCTCTCTCTCTCTCTCTCTCTCTCTCTCTCTTCTTTTTTTTCTTTAAATTTAGTTTTTAAATTTTATAAACGTTGTACATTAGATCTAACGGTGTCTTTAAAAACTTAATAAAAATTCGTGGGAGAGTTTGAGAATCAACATGAGTAAGATAAATTAAAGTCTGGAAAAAGTAAGAATATTAAATTTTTCTTTTATTTATTTTAATGTGTTGTTGTACATCAAGAAATAACAAAAACAAAGCACATCATAAAAATTAAGTGCTTAATTAGTATGCAGTATGAAGATTTCTTTGATTGCAATAATATCAAGATATGAAAAAACCAGCTTTTGTGACATATAGAAATGGGTTATATAAAGAAAGATAAGTACATTATTATATATCCGTGATTGATTAATATATTACAATTAATTTAAATTATTGGTCAATTTCTTATGACTTGCAACTTAATTACGATTCTATTGTAGAAAAAGTTATATAGTTATATAGTAAATTGGTGGTAAGATATTACGCGAGAGAGAACATGATCGACGTGGTTTTCATTCTGATAATAATACGAAACTACAAACTTTTGCCAATTTTTTTCGTATATGTAGAATTGTTTATTAATTTTTTTATCATAATAATTTGTTTATTGTAAAAGCTCAACAGACATACAATTCAGATATTTTTCTAACAAATTAATAAAATACTTTGTTTGCAAATGCAGTTTATCATCATACTAAAAAAGTATTAT